AAAATTTTTTTTTGGAAAAATGTTTTCATTTTGATATATTTTGGAAGATCTGAACTTTTTTTTCAAAGCAATCGTACTGCTTTAACTGCATAGAGACGAAATATAGAAGCGCGTAAGCGCCGCGTCCGCTGTCTAACGGAAAAACAATAGTACGGAACAAAACTTTACTTATTGTTAAAATCTCAATAAAATATCTGATAATTTGATATGCATATGTCTAATGTCTAATGATTATTGTTGACCGCCAAATGTTATTTTTTTTTAGTTTTTTTTTACTAGATCTCCGAAACCGCTAGAGCCTATCTTCATGAAAATTGATCAAATCTTCATCTTGTTAATACAAGTAAAATGTTTTTTGAACTATACAAATCGGACGCTCCGTTCTCTTAAAAACTGAGTTACCGTTTTGGCCGTATCTCCGGAACGGCTAGAATGTTTTTTGAATTATTCAAATTGCTTCCTCCGTGTTCCCGAAATCGTCGACGAAAATTTGTATCCGAACACACACACATGCACGCACACACACACTCACACATACATCATTTTCTCCAAGGTATGCCAACATATTCAGAAACCTGTGAAACGTGAAGATATATAAAAATTTTCATTTTCGATTTTTTTGCGATTACTTACCCTATGGAAAATTAATTATAAATGAATCAATTTATCATCTTCAGAACATTAACAATCGTCATTTCATTTCGAATCAAAATCCAAAAAAAAAATAGTTGCGAAATTTACACAAAATTGAAAAAGTGCTCCCGCATAGTCACAGTCTAAATTGCAAATGATTCTGTGCGGGAGCACTTTTTCAATTTTGTGTAAATTTCGCAACTATTTTTTTTTTTGGATTTTGATTCGAAATGAAATGACGATTGTTAATGTGCATTTGCAAATGATTCTGTGCGACATTTTCACTTATACTGTGCTCAGCTTGGCGGCATTTTCACATTTTTCAATAATTTTCACAAAATTGGAAAAGTGCTCCAGTACACAAACAGTCTAAACGCACTTGGGTAAACATTTGTACCAGAGTGGCGCTTAGACTGTGCTTAGCTTGGGTGATTTTTTGAATTTTTATCCAAATTACAAAAAAATTTTTTTGAAAAAAAAATTAAAACAAAAATTTTTTTTTCCGAAATCATTATTTTGTTGAAAAAAGCAGAAAGTTCTTTGAATCATTTAAATCGGACGCTTAGTTCTCTCAAAAACAGCCATTTTTTTTAAATTTAGCTCTGTATCTCCGAAACCTCTGGGCCTACCTTTGCCAAAAACTGATCAGCACATCTCCCTACTAATAGGAATCGAATGTTTTTTAAACCATTCAAATCGGTTGATCCGTTCTCTTAAAAACTCGCTTTCTATTTTTTGCACTCTTTGCTCCATATCTCCATAACGGCTAACGGCTGGCCTGCCTTTGCCAAAAACTAATCAGCACATCTCCCTATCAATAGGAATCGAATGTTTTTTAAACCATTCAAATCGGTTGATCCGTGCGCCCGAAAACGTGGACGAAAAAACGCGGACATACAAAACACACACACACACACACACACACACACACACACACACACAGTATGCCAAAATGTTCAGAAACCTTCAAAACGTCGAGAAATGTAAAAATTTTCAATTCCGATTTTTGGACGATTACTATAACTTACCCTACGGGAAGTTAAAAAACACTTTTTTTCCAAACAGTCGCCAATTTGTAAAAAACTAGTGGGACGCATGGCATCGTGCCTTAAGGCAAATTGCTAGAACTTTCCGTACCTAATTTTTTTTTTTAAATATTAATAATTTTGAAAAAAAATTATTCTGAAAAATTAGATTTTTGAGAAACTATAAATTTTTGACAAAATTTACTTTTTTTTGAAAAATAGACTTTTTGAATAAAAGTGCATTTTGAAATATTTTGGAAATTCTGAACTTTTTTTCAAAGCAATCGTACTACTAGAGACGTAATATCGAAGCGCGTAAGCGCCGCGCCGCCGCCTAATAGATAAACATTGGTACGGAACCAATAGGAATATAAACAAAATTTATCCTCATTGTTAAAATCTCTATAAAATATCTGCTAATTTGATGTGCATATGTCCAATGATCTTTCTTGACCGCAAAATGGCATTTTTTTTACGTTTTTCGCTAGATCTCTGAAAACCCTAGACCTGCCTTCATGAAAATTTGACCAGTTCTTCATCTTGTCAATACAAGTGAAATGTTTTTTGGATTATTCAAATCGAACGCTCGGTTTTCCTAAAAACTGAGTAACCGTTTTCGGCACTTTTTGCCATGTATCTTCGGAACGGCTAGACCTGCCTTCGCCAAAAACTAATCAGCACGTCTCCTTATCAATACGAATCGAATGTTTTTTGAATTATTCAAATCGGTTGATCCGTGTTCCCGAAATCGTCGAGGAAAATTTGAGAACTATAATTTTGGCATACCTCAGAAAAAATGGATGTGTGTGTATGTGTGGGTGTGTGTGTGTTTTGTATGTCCGCATTTTTTCGTACACGTTTTCGGGCGCACGGATCAACCGATTTGAATGGTTCAAAAAACATTCGATTCCTATTGATAGGGAGAAGGGCTGATTAGTTTTTGGCAAAGGCAGGTCTAGCGGTTTCAGAGATATGGAGCAAAGATTGCAGAAAATAGAAATCGAGTTTTTGAAAGAAAGGAGCATCCGATTTGAATGATCTAAAAAACATTCAATTAGTAATGATTGGGGGAGAAGAGGTGATTAGTTTTTGGCAAAGGCAGGTCCCGTCATTTCGAAGATACAGAGCTAAATGTTCAAAAAATGGCAGTTTTTGTGTGATCTAAGCGTTCGATTTGAATGATCTAAAAAACTCTCTGCTTGTATTGACAAAATAATTGCTTTTGAGGATAAAAAATTATTACATCTTTTTTTATATTCCATAAAATATTTTTGTAGTTTTGGATTAAAAATTCAAAAAATTACTCAGGCTAAGCACAGTCTAAGCGCCACTCTGGTACAAATGTTTACCCAAGTGCGTTCAGACTGTTTATGTAAAGGAGCACTTTTCCAATTTTGTGAAAACTATTGAAAAATGTGAAAATTCCGCCAAGCTAAGCACAGTATGAGTGAAAATGTCGTACAGAATTATTTGCAAACGCGTTTAGACTGTGACTATATAGGAGAACTTTTTCAATTTTGTGTAAATTAGGCAACTATTTTTTTATTGAAATTGAATTCGAAATGAAATGACCATTGTTAATGGAGATAAATTGATTTATGATTTACATTTGATTTGCTCAGATATAACAATAAGATAGCAAAAATAATGAAAAACAATTACATTATTTGTAATAATATATTTGAAAACGTTTAAAATTTCTCGAATATTTCATTACGGTACGGGAATTACCAGCATTTTGCCATAAGGCACGATGCCATACACCACTAGCTTTTGTTTTGTATTTTAATAATATTAATAAACAAGTGGTAAAAAAATGGATAGTGAAAACACAAATTGCTTTCTCTTATGACACTTTAAAAATGACTTAAGGGACACAACTAGTGTGAAATTTTAAAAAAATCGAATTTTCAATTTTTCCATATTTCGATAGGTTATACCTTTAAAAATAACATACCAAAATTTTAAATCGATATCTTAAATAGTTTTTGAGTCACAGCCATTTGAAGAGTATATATTTAGTATGTAGTATAACGATTATTTTATCTTTAAACGCGTTTTTCTCGAAACAGCATTTTCCGAATTTGCTGCGGCGATTACTCAAAAACAAATGATCCGATCACTATCAATTTTTTTTTACATGTTCTATATATAGTTCTCTGTAAAATGAACTATCGATTTTTTGATGGGATCAAAAATCGAATTTTGGCAATCGAAAAACGACCAAAATTTTGGGTAAAAATTCGACCTTTTTTTAAAAAAAACGCCATCATTTTGTCAATTTTTGATTATTTTTTTATCGTAGTTTTCATATTTCAATTTCATAAAGGTAGAAGGCCGGAATCACTGCAGCAGTGAAGGGCCTTTTTTTGAGATCGACGATAACTTAAAAAATATTTAATTTTTTTCTTCAAAAATGTTACTATGTATTCTTAAAACATGTATAAATATATTCCTAAAATTTTGAATTAATTGATAGAGTAGTTTTTTTTAATATAAACTCTTAAAAATCACCTTTTCTTAGGCGGTTACACTAGTTGTGCCCCTTAAAGTTCATAGCTCTAAACTAGAATACCCCCTTAATGCAACGTCTATAAATCTATGAAGATTGCAGTCCATAATTAATACCAAAATTGTAGACAATAATAAAATCCATGAAATATTATGTTTTATATGTGGTTTATTTTAAGTAAGTTTAATATTGACAACACTGTGTGTAATCATATTGATCGTTTATAAAATATAATTGGTATTTGCGCACTCACAATTGAAAAGAAAGGTTTCAAAAAAAAATAATTTTGAAACTTAGACTCGGGAGAAACAAAAGCGAGATCAGATCTGACACTTGAATTATTTTGTTTCCTCCGTGCTGTCACTATATGAGCCTATCTGTCCAGTAGAAATGCGATGCGTGTTGACAGGCCGCTACAAATCTATTTTTATCTTTTGGATTCATACTTTCAGATAAGATAAAAGACTCATATTAACCCTTAAATGTCTATAAATGTCTATTTCTTATCCACCGTCTACTATAAATATCTATTTCTCACCCCCAGGTGCAACCCAGGCCATCAGGTGAGAAGATAGCAGCCATCGCCGAGAAATTGGACCTGAAGAAAAACGTGGTTCGTGTCTGGTTCTGCAATCAGCGCCAGAAGCAGAAGCGCATGAAGTACGGGGCGCAGCACTGACCGAGTGCCGCACTGACGCAGGCGTTCGCGGCCCACCAGGCAGTGGCGGCGATGCAGCAGCAGCAGCAGCACCAGCAGGCGGCGGCGGCCAGTGGCACTGTGCTCGCTTTTGCTGGGGGGGCTTATGGGTATTGAGAATAATGGAAATAGAAAAAAGAGAGAAACTGCTAAAGATGTAATTGATAGCTGAAACCAAGACTAACGTTATTTGTTAAATAGTTTCTGGAAAAGTTGACAGCCAAGCAGAAGTTAACTCTGTGCTGATCAATCAGAACCTATTGAAGTAACAGTTACAATGATCCAGTTGCTCAACAATCTTACTAATAGTCAGTTGGGCCGTAAATAAGTAGAAAACTGTTGCAGTTCAAGACGGAGAAGAAGTTGTCCTAAAATCCAGAGATATTTTAACTTTGTGCTGATGATCCATCAAAAGTTGTTGAAGTAGTAATTACATTGATCCAGGTGTTTCGTGACCTTTGAATTAAATTCGGAAATATCTTTTTTTAACTTCCCGAACAAGAAGTTTATGTTTTTATCAAAAAATCCGATTCGCTAATTTTATGTTTTCTCGACGTTTCAAGCCATTCTGAATCGAATGAGACCAACATTTGAAAAAAGTATGTGTGTGTGTGTGTATGTGACCAGATTTTTTGCCGTAAATCGACATTTTCTCGATACAGCTGGGCCGATTTCAAAAATTTAAAAGCCATTCGATGTATCTCGATGAGGACTATTGTTTGTCAATTTTGTACGACGATCGGCCAAACCGTTTCTTTATAAATCGCAGAAAAGTGAAAAAAATTTCGTCCACGTTTTAGCCCGCAGTTATGAATCGATTTTGAAAATTCAAAAACCGTTCGAACGATATTGGTTGGGAATCGTGCTGATTAGTTTTTGGAGAAGATCGGCCGAGCCGTTTTCTTGTAATATAGTGTTAAAAATTTTTTTTCGACAATTTTTATTATTATTTTATTATTATTATATATTTTGATGTAGATATCATACTCTTCTAGATCATACTAAAATATTACGGCCCTACGACAACTCGTTTAGCTTTAAAAATTCGTCAAAGTTTGCTAAAATTGGTATTGTTTTTTTGGCATTTGTCAAAATTAGACTTTTGATCGACGTTTTCTCGAAAACGCCTGAACCGATTTCAGAAATTTAAAAGCCATTTGATATATTTCGGTGAGGACTATCATTTGTCAGCCGTTTTTTTGTAATTTGAAAAATAGTGTTAAATTTTTCGTCCACATTTAAGTTCATCCTACCGAACCGATTTTAAAAAATCAAAAACTGTTCGAAAGATATTAGTTGGGAATAATACTGATTAGTTTTAGGTGAAAATCTACCGAGCCATTTTTTTGTAATGAACTGTTGAAAAAAAAATTTAAGCCGATTTTCATGGAACTTTTTTTGGCGATATACATCATGGTCTTATAGAACTTACTGTAATATTACGGCCTTTCGACAAGTAGTTTAATTTTAAAAAATCGTCAAACTTTTAAAGTAGTATTGATGAAGTATATTATTTACACTTTTTTTTTGATTAAGTCGATTATTTACACATATCGGGAAGTTCATGTAACTTGCCTCAACGCTAAATACCAAACCAACTAGTTTTTCTAATTATCCTAGATAAAGTAAATATACTGGACGGAATTGACGAAAAATAATAGCTTATTTCAAAATCGTTATGAAATCTTCTTGAAAGACCAGAATAGATGAAGCACAAGTTTTTACCACCACGTTTGATCAAATTTCTGGAATTTACAACTGCACTAATAAGGACCAATATCGAAACGAGTTGGTTTGGTATTTAGCGTTGAGGCAAGTTACATGAACTTTCCGATTTGTGTAAATAATCGACATAATCAATAATGAATAAATTAATTTATGAGTAGTTAAAAGTATTCGAAGTGGATTTATTACACATAATTGAAACGAACGAATACTCCGATTTTCTAAAAGCAAATTTTATATAATTGAACCAGTTTTCAGGACTTTAATGGTTTATTATGTTCAAGACCAAGTACTCTATCATTATACCAAGTAAATAGTCTAATTTTAATTTTAACAAATTTCAAAAGAACTACTCATTTTCTCAAACTTTGATGATTTTTTATAATATTATATTTTTTATAATATTTATAAAATTAGCGAATCGGATTTTTTGATGAAAACATAAACTTCTCCTTCGGGAAGTTAATTATGGCACCAAACTATTTTAGAACCCAAAAATCAAGAAATTTTACAGAAAGACTTGGATAGATGAAGGAGAAGGTTCTCGCATCATATTTGGTCTAATTTCTCGCATTAAGACCTGGACCAAGGAGGATCTAAACCCAAATATTAACACCAAATAATATTTGGATCTACAAATAATTCTAAAACACTAATATGTTTAAATTTTTTTCAACGAGACAATAGCTTTTGGAACCAAAAAGTAGTCTCAAGATTATCGTAATCGAAGACCAAAACAATTCTCGTTTACAAAAGCCAAGGACAAAAGTGAACTTCAACCATAAGAAATAAAGATCAATTTGGGTAAATTTTTGAAGCATTTTGGATCATCAGCATCTAAATCTAAACCGAGGAACATCTAAATCTAGATAGTGGCACCATTAGCACCAACTTTTTGGGGCACTTCAGGACCAAGTCGGACCCAGACCCAAAAATTGGCACCAACTTATTTTGAGTCCAAAAAAATTGATGAAAATAAGTGTAAATTTAAGGTACGAAAACTGTTTAATAAAATACTAACACCAGGTGTCGGACTAATAAATATTTTATATATGTAAATAACAGCATGGGGGACTAATTTATTAATAATAAAAATAATTAATATTTAAATATGTAAATATTTATTTAATACTAACATAATATATTATAATCGTTCATTTGTACAAATTTGTGAAAGTACTAACACTAGTCTATAATTAAATGTAAATATTGGAGGTTACTAACTCTCGGTCTAATTTATTAATACTAATATTGTACCAAAGATTAATATTATGCACGTATTGATAATATATAATATATTATATAATAGCAAATATATATTAATTAATTAATTAATATTATTAAATTATCGATTACTAGAATTTTTATACCACATCTTTATTATGATGCAAAAAAATGATATTAATGTATATATGCTTTGTATAATAATAATAATATTTAATATATTACAAATAAATTTAATATATTAAATTTCTCATAGACCAAATTAATTGTAATATGTAAAATAATGTTTTAGGCTAATTTTTTGTGATGTTTTTGTTGGTTGGTTAAAGGTTTTGTTTTTATTCGGGCGTGTGGAACGAAATTGAGGGAATTTGTTAAAGGAATTTTGGATTTTTTGAGGTTTTTTGATAAAATTATATTGTCTATAGTTTTTTGAATCTTGTGTATTGTTTTTTTTAGCATAATGTACGTTTTTTGTATTTTTAAAAATTAAAAAACGTTTCAAGCGCTCGATCTAATAGAATTTTTGAGAATTAGAATGCGGAACAAAAATGTAGATTTTGTTAAAGAATTTAGAGATTTTTTTGGATTTTTGGGTGCGATAAATTTTTTGATAGTTTTTTGGATCTTCAGTATACTTTTTTTTTTTAAGTACGTTTTATAAGTTTGAAAAAAATAAATAAACGTTTCAAGCGCACGGACTAACAGAATTTTTGATAATTAGAATGCGGAACAAAAATGTAGATTTTGTTAAAGAAATTTTAGATTTTTCTGGATATTTTGGTTTAATAATGTTGCTTACGGTTTTTTTGGATCTCGTGCATCAATTGTTTTGCAAAATGTTTGTTTTTTGTATTTTCAAAAATTAAAAAACGTTTCAAGCGCACGGACTAACAGAATTTTTGAGAATTAGAATGCGGAACAAAAATGGAGATTTTGTTAAAGAAATTTTAGATTTTTTTGGATATTTGGGTTTAATGAAGTTGTTCACAGTTTTTTGGATCTCGTGCATCAAATTTTTTGCAAAATGTGTGTTTTTTGTATTTTAAAAAATTAATAAACGTTTCAAGCGCACGGCCTAACAGAATTTTTGAGAATTAGAATGCGGAATAATAATGCGGATTTTGTTAAAGAATTTAGGGATTTTTTTTAGATTTTTGGGTGCGATAATTTTGTTTATAGTTTTTTGGATCTTTAGTATCATTTTGTTTTTGAAAAAATGTGTTTTTTGTATTTTTAAACATTAAAAAACTTCTAAATTGCGTGAATAAATTTACCTATTTTATCTTATTTACAAATCTATTAAATATTTAAATTTAAAGAAATTCTGTACAATATCAAGCCAATCATTTTTTTTTATAAATTTCGTATATTTATTATTATTTATTATATAAAAAACATATTTTTGAACAAAATGTCATAAATTTATACCCTAAACCAAATAATATTGCATCTGAAATTATAATATATAAAATATCTCAATTGTTCCACACGAAAAAATATTTTTTATGCGTTTTAAAGTGCGTTTTAAAAATATTTATAATTACAATTTCTTCTAGCAAATTTTAAATTTAAATACTTTAAAGTATACTTTAAACATACTCAAATTAATTCATACTAATATTGTTTATAATTTTAAGGAAAAAAATGTTTTTTGTAAATGAAAAATATCTCAATTGTTCCACACGAAAAAATATTTTTTATGCGTTTTAAAGTGCATTTTAAAAATATTTAAAATTACAATTTCTTCTAGCAAATTTTAAATTTAAATTCTTTAAAGTATGCTTTAAACATACTCGAATTAATTCACACTAATATTGTTTATAATTTTAAGGAAAAAATTGTTTTTTGTTTAAAAGTGCAATATTTAGACTTAAGTATATTCTGTCGATAGGACGAAAGATTTTAGAAAAATATAAGTTAGGAAATTCGGATTTGTTTTTTGAAAAAAATTGTACTAACATACACATACTAATGAATTTTTTGGACCAAAAAAATTGTAATTGATTGAAAAATATATAAAAAATATCATTATGTAGTAAAAATTAAAAATTGTACATGTACTAATTTACATACACAATTTTTGTTATTGCAGATATTTTTTTGTAAAAAACGTATCCAAAATTATATTTTTGACTAATTTTAACATTTTTTGTATCTTAACATTTTTTTTAAATATTTTCCAATCAATATTTGCATTTTTTTTGGTCTA